CTCAAGCTTCGTTTTTGGGGTACATAAACGATTTGGGGCAACCCACTCTGGCACAACAATGGGAATGTTCTAAGCATTGAACCTCAGCAAACCGTTGTCATGCACCTAGTACTTCAGGGCCTCCATAGGGGTACAGACACAGATCAATATCCTCTTCTCTTACTTTCGGCCCTAAGCTCAGCTCTTCTCACAGTCAGTCCAATCCTCTTGTCATTGGCCTTGAGTTGCCATGAGCCACGCTTTTGAACTACCAACCAGCCCCTCTTGGATATCTTAAACTCTCTGTTTCCTTAGCTTCTAAGACTCCACTCTCAGCAGGTTCCCCTCCTACCTCTCGGGCTAAGCCTTCCTGACACATGGTGTACGTCCTTTCTTTGCTCCTCTTCCTCATCCTCTGCAAACGTCACTGTTCTCCAGGGTCCAGCTGTGGTCACTGCTACCCTCCCGCTCCACCCTGATGCAGGTGCTCTAGGCCATACCTACAGCTTCTCCTTGTGTCTCTCTTCCTGTTGCCCCCAAGTCTCCAACCTCAGCATAAACAGTCTCCCGGGCTGCAGGCCCCTGTCGACAGCCCATGGGACATCTCCAACCTCATGGTCCACGGGCTCCTCCACCTGACAATCATCAATCGTATGCGTCATTCCCTGCCCCTCAAATATGACCTTTCTCCTGAAGTCTTTCTCCTGGCCAAGGGCACCTGGCTCTTCATATCACCATCCTGGCAGCCAGCTCTCTCCTCCACCCATGATATCCATCTGGTTACTTGTCCAGGCAAGCTTGCCTCCTAAATCCACTGCCCCCTCTCTATCCTTATTGTCACCATCATCTGGACTCTGGCAAGCTTTCTTTTTCTCTTCACAGTGAGGCCTCCGTCTGAGCCATCTTCCTCATGCTGCAAGAACACTCCTCTGCCGGTGAAGCCTTCGAGCCTCCTCCTCACCTGCAGTTAAGTCCAACAGTTTGCATGGGCCATCAAGCCTCCATCACCCGGCTTCTCCCATTCCCTCAAAACCAGCACCCCTTCCTCTGGTCCTAAAGAACGTGACCACAGGGCCTTTGTACATGAGTATACTTCAGCCTGAAGTATCTCTATGGCATCCTCTTCTTGAGAGATGCAATGCAAATATGTCAACCTATGTGAAACTTGCCATTAATCCTTTCTCTACAGCAAAATGAATCAGTTCTTCCAACTTGACACCTTGGCCCCGTATAAGACCTTTCACCATTTGAAACATCTGTTTACAGGTTTATCTTCCCTATTAATCGCAGTGTCTGTCTGTTGGTATAGATGTTTGGCAAATGACTACACACACACACACACGAGCTAGACCAGTGGAAGGAGAGACCAGAGGGAGGACAGCAGGAAGGAGGCGACTGTAAGAGTCCAGCAAAAAGGCAACAGGGCCTGGGTTAGGATGACAAGGATGACGATGGTGACAATAGTAACAATAGTATCCAGCACTATGAACAAGAACCAACACTGAGCCCTTACTAAGGCGCTCTCCTAAGGGCTTTACATATTTGGACTCATTTAATCTTCACAACAACCCTCTGAGGTAGGTACTGTCATTACTGTTATTTCCATTTCATAAATGAAGAAACTAAGGCACACGAAGTCTAAACAAATGACTTTGAGAATAGAAAGAAGGCTAAATGTGATACACTGCAAATCACAATCTCTAAGACTGGATTCCTGCTCAGATGGGCACGGCAAGGGGAAGAAGATGTCAGAGATGGTTCTGTGTGACAGCAAGGCCAGCAGTGCCATCAACCCGGCCAAGAGAAAAGAAAAGGAGCAGCATTCACCTGGGCTATGTTTTGTTTTCTTCAGCGGGACAGGTCGTGTGGCGGGAGAGAGAATGAGTTCTATTTGGGGCTTGTTTGAGGTATCGGTAAGACATCCTGGCACATATAATTATCACTGCCAACCCTCCTCTTCCCTAGGACCCTCTGAGGTCACTTCCATTTTACAAGCTGGGGAAAAGAGGTTTGGAAAGATTAAATAACCTCAGATTAAGAATCACATTTAATTTTTTATTTTTTATTTATTTAATTTATTTATTTATTTTTTTTTTTTTTTTTGAGATGGAGTCTCGCTCTGTCGCCCAGGCTGGAGTGCAGTGGCGTGATCTCGGCTCACTGCAAGCTCCGCCTCCCAGGTTCACGCCATTCTCCTGCCTCAGCCTCCCGAGTAACTGGGACTACAGGTGCCCGCCACCACGCCTGGTTAATTTTGTTTTTGTATTTTTAGTAGAGACAGGGTTTTACCATGTTAGCCAGGATGGTCTCAATCTCCTGACCTTGTGATCCACCTGCCTCGACCTCCCAAAGTGCTGGGGTTGCAGGCATGAGCCGCTACGCCCAGCCCAGACTTAATCTTCAAGTGGAGAAGCCAAGATTTGAAGTCAGGTCTGTCCAAGTCAAATTTTGCTCTGCCGAAGAGGCCAGTTCTTCCCGAAGTTGACTAATCACTGGCATCCCTATGAGGAATTCTTTTTAATGCGCATCCCCAACCATGCACAGTTGGAATTCTCTGGGGTTGTAATGATGTGCAGGCTTTGGGGTCGCTGCGCCTGTCCACAGGCCTCTCCAATGCAGGAAATACTGGGCCAGGCCTTCGGAGAGGCTTAGCACTGGAGATGTCAGTCTTAGCAACAATTTACCGGGAAACAGAACAAAAATCTGTGGACACAGAGGAGCTCCCCAAGGGGAGAGTGCAGAAGAAAATCAGAGGGTTCAGGACAGAAGCCTAGTAAACGTCCGTGCAGACACAGGAAGAGAGGCTGGAAGAAGCGAGGGGAGAATGTGTTTTGAAAACGGGGCATCTGCAGAGATGCTGCAGCTTGAAGATACTGTAGAGAGCAAGGACCAGGAGGCGAGGTCACAGCACTCGCGATGGGTTTCTCCATGGGGCTGAATCATGTTCTGATTTATTAGCTGATGAGAGGTAGTGTTTATTTGTCTGTTTTAGGGGTTTTCTGATGCTGCCCCCACCGATCCCCCCTCCCTCCCCCTTCAGCTGGCTGCATTCACTGCCCCAGGGAGAGTGCGACCCTGTGACTGTGGAACTGCAGAGAATGAGGAGTCATCTGCAGCTTTATTGAGGTATCATTGCCATACCATAAAATTCAGCCATTGTAAGTACGCAATTCGATGACGTTTGGTAAAGTTACACAGTCGTGCAAGCAGCCCCACCATCTCGTGTAGAACACTGCCATCACTCTGCCGTGTGATAAAAACCCGCCATCCCTCCCGCCTCATCCGTACCCAGCAACCTCACTCCAGCTCCAGAATAAGTCCAGGGTGACCTCTTGTCCTCTCCTACGAGCCCCTCTGCCTCCAGGAGGTCCAAGGTTGAGGGGTCTCAGCCAGCCCAGGGCTTCCCTCTAGCTCAGCAACCCAAGTGGCTCCCTTAAACCTCCCGGGAACCGAGGGGTGAAGGGGCTACATGTGGCCATCGCTAGGACCTAAGAAAAACCAAACTCCTCTAACCCACTTTCACCACTGCTTGGGCCTTGGGCAGCCCAAAGCATCATCAGCTTAAGAACAAGATACGGATTCTCTTTGGAACCAAGGCTCCTCTTTAAAAATTGCAGCTTAAATGTTAAACTGTGGGAGGGTTGGGAGGACCATGGCAGGGGAAGGAGGTGGCTGCACAGGGAAGAAACAGAACCAAGGGAAGGAGTTCCTGCTTCAGGGAGACACTTTGGCTTGTATTTATTTTGACACAGTAAAGATTTCTTGCCCCTTAAGAGGCAAGGTCACGCTTCAGATGGCCTCATGGACGGCAGCCGATGCTCTGCCTTCCGACTCCGGCCATGTCATCACTCAGTGCCGTGCCCAGCTTTGACATTTTTGGAGCCTGTCCCCAACAAAGGGCCCCAAGCCAAGCCACAAGACACCACAGCCCACAGGCGGCGAACACCTTACCTGCTATGCATCAGCAGCTACCTAAAAAAACTGGGGTGACAGCAGAGAAGTTAAAATGTGCATCAGATTGTTTTTGCTGAAAGGGCCCAAGGAAATGTCGAAGGTTACAAAACACAAGAACAACCATGTGATGGCATCAGCCCAGCAGCTGTGGAAAGGAGAATCCTATAAGCTGCCTGCTTCTTTTGAAAACCATCTCATTGGATGGTCCCATCTCAGGAATTAAAGGAAGGTGCTCACGGCAGGGGAAAGATGGTGGCTCTGATGACCGAACACGCCATGTGGAAATCACGTGACGAGTGACGGTGTCTCTGCAATGGAGGGGGAGAAAGAGACGGGATGTTCCCTGTGTGCCTTTTGTAGAGGCACCCTGGAGTGCCCCAATTTTGCCAACTGCATTCCAGAGCTCTTTTCCGCACATGCCCAGATGGAGCAAAAGTCTTTGTAATGACTTCAAGCTCAGCCAAAAGTAAACACACTCTCCACTTTTTCCATGGACCAATTCTAACCCCAAATTGCCAGAGCTGGCCCCTCAACAATCCAAATGGAAAGCCGCCTTTCCTAATAAAAGAAAGCCTTTCTAATTCAATAATACATCTTGGCTGCAAAAGCAAACGTTCCTAAAAGCTTCCTAGAAATTATGTATCGAACAGCAACGCTCCAGATCACCTGAGCAAACCCCACCAATGGAACAAAGACATTCAAAGTAAATACAACACACAACCCAAGAATAGGTGTTTGCTGCACCAAACACCTGCACTCACAACTTTTGCAGCACATTTTGTGGCAGTCATGGGATTTGCTACTAAACATGCGCGCACGCGCGCACACACACACACACACACAGCTCACCACCACCTAACCGGAATATTCTTTTGGAAAACAGGCCGGGATGAGACAGGTGCTGATTTGAATAAAGAGCAAAATAGCACGCGGGATGTGAGCTCTGCAGGCCTTCTGCACATGCCAAACACATGTCTCACTTCTCTCCCACATTTCATGAACCTATGTGATCTGGACGCAGTTCTCCATCGAGTGAAAAAGCAGAGATTTGAGGACGGTGGACTTACCAGGTTGGAATTAGTGGCGTTGGAATCATCTTCTGGAAAGGGAATATAGATCGCTAAGGCCACACAATTGGCAAAAATAGTCAGTAAAATAATTATTTCAAATGGTCTGAGAAAGGGAGTTAAGGAAGTTAATGCCACGGAAAGTACAAGTGAAACAAACATACATCTACATATTTTTTCAAATGAATCAAAGATTCGTAAGAATTTTGTTTAAACAATGCATTCCAAGCCCCTTGTATTCTGAAAAGAAACATATGCCTTTTTAAGTACGGCTAGTGGGTCCTCGCCAACATTTTCCCTAATATGTCAAAAGCAGTGGAGGCCAGTCGCGTGCCAGAGTAAACACAGAGTTCTAAAAACTTTTCTCCCCTCCTTTTATTTATTTGGATTGCACTGGTCTCCATTCTTCCCCATGTGTGCCTGGGGTTGCCTCTAAAGAGCATGGCCTGTGCCAAGCACCCCGTTTCTTCACGGCTTACGCCGAGCTGCCTGTGGGCCCATGCCCACCTGGAACGGGGGACATGGGTGGAACGGGATTCTAAGACAGAGAGACCTCCCCTGGGTTTCATTGACATTTGGAGATTTTATTTTTAATCTTTTCAACTAAAGTTAAGAGTGGTTTCCATTTCTTCTCTCTCATTCTCTGACAAGATCCAGAGATCTTGAAGACCCCCAAGAGCACGGCAGGGTGTCCGCCCTGAGTGGGTATAGGGAAGGAAGGCTGTCTCCTCTTTAAGGATGAGTCTCACAGACAGCATAGAAACCCCTTTGGTCTGCAGAGGTCCTGCTTCAGCAGGCAAAGCTTTCATTTCAAGGCCCCCTGACTTTTCCTTGGGGTGTGCTGGGCTCTAGCGGGACAGTCCGAGGTTCCCTCACCAGGAGCAGTGCAGGCAGAGGGTCCCACGCCCTGACGACTTCATCACATTTTCAGGGAAGGACACACTCTCAAGAGAAAAATCAGCTAATGTGATAACACCCCTTCCAACGGGACCACCCCACACCCTCCATGGAAGGGGCCGTCTATGCTCTTCCAGCTCCACTCCTACCTACCCCGCTCCCATTGCCCAGTTTGCAGCCCAGTTCATGGAGTCTCACAGGAGGAGAAGACAGAGAGGGGTGGAGGTCTGGGGTGAGGGGACCACCATAATTCTCTCAGGGAAATCCATACTCACAAAGTTAGTGAATACTGAGGCAGAAAGAGATCTTAGAGATTATCTAGTCTAACCCTCTGAGGCCCAGAGAGCCTGAGAAACTTTCCCAAGGCCCCACAGCAGGTTAGTGACCAGCTGAGACTGGAGCTCAGACTTCCCGATCACCAAGTCCAGTGTTCACTCCCCTGCCACAGACGGCCTTCTGACGTGTTCACGGGCAACCCTGGGCCAGTGTCACAGAATTGCGAACTGGGAGGAACCCGGGTAATTATCTTAGCACTGGTCTCCCTAGCCCTGTGGGTACTTCTGAAGATCCATTTTCCTGTAGAACATTTTCTGTGTCCACCTTGATATCAAAAAAGATGCCACACAGTGGCCCCGTCAATCTCTCAATTTTGCAGATGTGAAAAGTAAAGCGGCCAGTCCAAGACCCCAGGCTGGCACATAGCAGAGCCTGGGCCGGAACCCAGACCGACTGACTAAGCTTTTACATTCTGCTGTCCTCGTGCTGGATGAGGCACAAGTGGTGATGATGGGAGACAGACGCCGATGCTGGTGCCGGTGACAGTAAGGACAGAAGCTGACCTCTGCCAAGAGCTTGCTCAGTGCCAGGCACATTCTTACGCCCCTATGGAAATGCCCTGTGTGGAATGTATGCTTGTGATCCCCACTTTCTAAGTGAGAAAACTGAGGCACAGAAGGGTCAGATGTTAACTTGTGCCAGGTCACAGAGCAAGCAGTAGGATGGGATCCAAGCTCAGGCAGTCTCAGTGTTAAGGACTGCTCTATACTGATCCACTCTAAAGTTACCTTGAAGGCTTCCTAGGCAGTTCTTTTAGCCCTCCTGCCGTGCCGCCTCTTGCCTCCCAAACCTTTTCTCGCCTGCTTAGGAAAGTGACACTGAGTCCACTGGCTGGCCAATTTCATTCCCATCAGCTGGTGCCTGTGCTGTCCCCATTGGGACAAGGACACAACAACCCAGCCAAGCCAGACCCGTGCACACACACCCAGAAAATGTCGCCTCACTGCCTCCACCACAGTGGGGGACAGCTGAGCTTGGAGTTTCTGGCACTATCAGTTCCCCTCCCCTCATTCAGACTATCCATCTCTCCATCCTTCACTTTATGCTAAAGGCACTGGGCTAATGCCAGAGAAGATCATGTGTAAAAACCAATCAGGCAGAGAAGCAAAGCCACCGGCTAAAAAGCAGAGAACCCAGGTACACCCTGGGAAGCGCTCTGTGTCACCTTTTGAGGCCCAGATGACTTTTTAAACTGCTTTTCCTTCCTAACGACAGTGTCAGATGCCACTTTTTCAAGAACTGGCTGGCTAGTACTCCAAGCTATCTCCTTCCGTGTCCAGCCACTCTTCCCAATGCCACCCACCTGGCACTAAGGCTGGGCCCCCTTCCTCTCCTCCAGGTGGGAAGGCACATTCCCCCAGAGGAGTGGCCACAGCACCCAGGGAGTAGGTTTTAGGCCCAGGTCCAGGTCCAGCATGTCTCAGTGCACCTGGACTGCAGCTCCCGAACATCCTCCCAAGTACCTAACTGGTTCTACCTAGTATCTACTAGTACCTGCCTAGTCCCACCTAGTACTATGGATGCATAGGGTGTGGGACATGCATGGACTTTGGGGTTAGGGGAACCTGGATTTGAAACCCAGCTCTGTCAGTCGCCAGCTGCGTGATTTAGGGCAAGTCCTTTGGCTTCTCTGGGCCTTGCTGCCCTTCTGTCAGAGGTGCCTGACCTGCAGGGCCCTCAGTTTTCCCACTCCCTGACTCCACCATGAGCAGCTATGCAAGCAGTCCTATGGGGCTGACCAAGACCGAGCCTCCCGCCCAGTCCCCTGGGGACTAAAACCAGGCCCGGCCACTCAGGCAGGCCAGCCAGGCAGCTGCAGCCACTTGTTTTAAAATGCATTTTCTTAAAATACTTTTAAGTTGAGGGGCTCAAACATTTATTTATTATTATTAATTTATTTATTTATTTGAGACAGAGTTTCACTCTGATGCTCAGGCTGGAGTGCAGTGGCATGATCTCAGCTCACTGCAACCTCTTCATCCCGAGTTCAAACAATTCTCTTGCCTCAGCCTCCCGAGTAGCTGGGATTACTGGCATGTGCCCCCACGCCTGGCTAATTTTTGTATTATTAGCAGAGATGAGGTTTCACCATGTTGGCCAGGCTGGTCTCGAACTCCTGACCTCAGGGGATCCGCCTGCCTTGGCCCCTCAAAGTGCTGGGATTACAGGCGTGAGCCACAGCACCTGGCTTAGAACTAACATTTCTGTCTCAACAGAAACTTTCTTTTATCACTGGGCTATCTTCTTTCAACTAGTACCTGAGACTTTTAAGTCTTTCCATAGAAACTCATTGATGAAGCCTAATGCTCCCATCCTGGCCCTTGAGAAACATAGCAGTCCTGCCGGGATGAATTCTTACTAAGAAAATTCCCACAGTCAGTACCAGGGTTCTAGTCTCATCCGTTCCTGACCACAGGACCCCGGAGAGCCTCTCCTGGGGGGCTCAGTTTCATCACTGGTGGAAGTAGGGGTGGAACTTCAGCACTTAAAGTTCCTTTCCAATTGCTACAGCCCCAGGATCCTGATGAAGTAAGGGGCTTGTAACTTCCCAGTGCGAGCCCAGCCCTTCAAAGCCCCTGTCTCTGAGGGATCCACTCACCTGTTTCTATATGGACAAACACAACACTTCCTGACAGTGTTCTCAACTTCGTCTGCACATGAGAATTACCCAGAGAGTTTTCTGTTGTTGTTTTTTGTTTGTTTTAATGCCTAGGTGGAACTGAGTGTTCTGTAGTTTGTTAGAACTTTCCAGGAGACTCTAATGTGCAGTCCAGGCTCAGAACCACTGCTTCGGGGCCCTTGAGCCAAGAGCCAGGGGCCCTGACCACCACGCTCTTGCATCTCCTGAGCCCCTTCACCCTAGAGAGAGGGAAGGCCATGACACCATCCAGTGCCATGGCACAGAGAGGAGAGAAGCGAATGAGGCAGCATGTAACTAACGACTGTTACCCCAAAGCATGAGTCGGCACCTGGGCAAGCTCAGCTACAGGAGATGATATTTCATAACTTCTTAGGCTCATTTTCTCAAATGTTGCTTATTATATGGAAAAAAAAAAAAAACAACCCACGCAGCTTATTATACAAGCAGATTGCTGGGCCTTGACCCCAGAGATTCTGATTCATCAAGTCTAGGGCAGGGCCCAGAACTCTGCATTTCACGGCACCCCAGTCATGCAGATGCAGTAGGCCCAAGGCCCCGTTTGTAGCCCAGCACCGCTGACACAGCCCGTGACCCAGGGAGCCTCGGAGGGCTGGCCCCAGGGTGCAGGTCCCAGGAGCATGCCCAGCCCAGTGAACAAAGGATATTTCCATTCGACAATGCTGATGCAGGCCCTCCGGATGGGGTTCTTCAGGGTCAGGCAGAGCAGGGCTCGGGGCGGGCGTGTGGCCGTGGTGCTGCCCTGCTTCTTGGGTTTCCCATATTGCTGCCGCTTCCGCTGCGTGGAGCTGACTGTGGAGATGGTCGCGTTGCCAGCGCTGCCCATCAGCTTAGCCTGCCGGGCTGCGTCGATGGCCGCCTGCCAGGACAGGGCGGCCCCCGGGGTGGGGATGTGCTCAGGGGCCAGTCCCGCGGCCGCATTGGCATTCATGTTGGCATGGGCGGGGCGTGGGCTCCCATAGTTAGAACCTGTGGCAAAAGAGAAAAGAACACAACAGTGACCAGATAGAAAACGGGGGCACTTCCGACACTCTCTGGACCCCAGATTCACAATCTTTTCAAAACCTTATTTCAAGCGATTGCAAGTGGTTAGGAGGTGGTACGTGGAAACATGAGTGTGAGATGCTGAGGGAAGAGGGCCAGGATTCTTCCGGTCCTGGTTCAGCTGGGTGACCTTGGGCGCGCCACTCCGCTTTAGTCTCCTTGCCTCACCTTAGGTGGGCAACAGATGAGATCCGTGCATGACCGCACGTGTGGACCTCAGCAGAAACAGATAAAACACAACACATTACCTGCAAATTAAAATATGTATTTTAAGAACACATGCAAATGAAAGGATATTCATGAAATCGAATAGAATGACTGTTTAAGGACGGTGAGGAGGAAAATGAGAGTGAGATATGGGGGCAAGGAGGAAGCATAAATGAATGAATGAGTGAATGTGAGAGGTCATCGCATGAATCAATGATGAAAAGGTACAATGAACTAGAGTATGATTCACTCAACTCTCCGCACCTGGGTTCCAATAAACAAAAACAAATATAATAAAGTGAGAAGGTTGCACTAGAGTAAGGTCACATCCAGCTACCTCAAAGCCATCTGGGTTTTAAGTGTTGGTTGACCAGAAGGAGCTAGGGGAGCTGTGATGGTTTTAAATCATGTCAACGAATCCCTTCACATCTGACATCCCTTTCACTGAGAAAGATCTAGGCCCTCCTCTTGAAATAAGGTCAGCCTTTGGTGACTGTTTTACCAATGAAGTACAGCAAAAGTGACACCATGTGACTTCCAAGGATAGGTTAAAAAAAAATGCCACATTGCACCCCCCTGACTATCTCCGGATGGTCGCCCTGGAGGAAGCCAGCCCCCACACAAGGCAGCCATTCAGCCCTGAGCTGCCATGCCGTGAGGAAGCCCAGACTAGCCTCAACAGAGAGGCCATGTGGCAAGAGAGAGTCCTGGCCAGCCCCCAGCCATCCTAGTCACCATCTGACTGCCACCCCAGGAGAGATCCCAAGTCAGGACTGCCCCAAATCAGTAACTTTTTGAATTACTGACCCACACAAGAGCTTCCTGAATTCCTGACCCACAGAGACTGAGCAATAACAGGGTGTCTGCTTGTAAGCCACTTTGTTTTGGGGTGATTCATTAGACAGCATTTGCTATCTGGGAAAGGGAGCTGTGAGTGGCAGGGGTTGATGGGGTAGGGGAGAGGGACAATGTCAAGAAGGAAACCTGATTGGAACCAGTGCAACCCAGGGCTCCAACCTGCACAGGGACAGCTGCCCTGCTCCGGTGTCTAGGCAACGAAGCCTCTGAGACTGTCCCTAAGACAGCACATATGCTTGGCAAACACACTTTGGCCTGTTAGGCTGGATACCTCGCTCTAGAATCTGTAAGGTCTGCCAAGCGATCAGCTCAGCCTGGCCCAAACCTGAATCTCCCAGAACACAGGTGTGACCTTGAGACGTGGTACCGCTAGTCAACTGGCCAAGTGCTACGGGATCAAGAAAAGCCGCAGAGAAGAGGGTGCTACTGTGGGTGGTGAGGTTGGCATCTGAGGCCACTTCAGCTGCCCGGGAGACTGGGGCGGAAGGAGCCAGACCAGTTGCACATACTTCACCTCCGAGGCCGCCCACAGTGACCTTTTGTGTTCCATGTGCACAAGGTCTTCCGGGGAAGCCGCTGGGTCCGAAGGTTGCTGGCTCAACCTGATTGAGCCCCTCCCTCTCCTCACCTGTAACTAACACACAGCTGAACACTTGGTGCCTCTCCCAGCCGCCTCCCCACCTCTTATCTTAGACTGATCCTTCTATGTTTGACCTCCAAGGTAACTTTGCTCCCCATGCGACCTGCTTTCTAGAACCTATCGCCGCCCCCTCCACCCCGTCCCCACAGGAACCTGTGAAGAGCACACGACCTGGCTTAGCCATGTGAACATTTTCACCTAGAGAGAGTCTGCCCCAGAGGCAGAGCCCCAGCAACCTCACCAGATTCCTCATCCAGCCACACCTGAAGTTAGACCTTCCCTGAGCCACACGCAGGTGAGACAGGTGTGGCCTCTTGGGGCTGACCTCCATTAGGGCTGTACTGCAAGGCTGGCTGAGCCTCCCCTTCTCCAAGTAATTTTCCCCCACCCACCGTGATGTTTAAGTGACTTAAATAAGCCAAAGCTAATGTGAAACAGCTCTCTGTCCCTTGCAACCAAAAAACGACCTAATATGCTTGGTCAGTGCCCAAAGCTTGGACCCGGTGGGGCTGTCATTTCTGTTGGACTCCAGTCTATATCCTTTCCATCACACCAGTGACAGACAATAAGTTTCAACTTTTATGCCAATTGATTGACATCACTGTCCAAAATGCTATCTACTTAAAGGACTCTGAGGATGAAAGATTAGTGGTGTCTGCCACGGGCACAAAGGGCAGGGAATGGCATCACTCATGCCACATAGCTACCACCCCTGCATGATCACAAGAAGACCCCTCAGGTCCTCTTGGAGACCAGCTGGTCAGCTGCCTCCTGTCCCACAGCAGTTGCCACCTGCTCTACCTCCATCTGGCCCCTGTAGCATTACAGCCCCGCCTCCACTCCTCAAGGCCTGGGAAATTGCCTCTCTGCCATACCCAATTCATAGCCACATTCTCAATGTGACACCAACTCTCACCTTACCATATATATTCCCTTCACCTTCCTCCTGTTCTCTGTCCCAGGGATAAACTGCATTAACCAGAACATCAGGCTCAAGGAGGACGTGACACTCCCCACCATGAGACGTCTCATCGCTCCCGTAACTCGTCCCTGTCCTCCCTGAACTCGCTGTGTAGATCCCAAGCCTAAAGTGAGGAAGGCCCCAGTAAGGCTGGGACTTTAACCTTTCTCACAAGATCCAGCAGGAAAAGATATAAAGAGTGCATTTGAATTAATAAAGGCACCCAAAGCGCGAGAACTGCTTGAACACCCAGCAAGCATATGTGTCTCCATTTAACACATAAGAAGACAAAGGAGCGTCTGACTCACTAAAGGTCACAGAATGGGTGACGGAGGGTTGCTGCAGCAGGCACAGGGCTCACAGTGAGCTGCTAGACTCTACTCCTTTCTCCTCAGCCCTCTCTCACACACTCCACATGCACGCACACACGTGCTCGTGTACACGGTGGCAGACAAGGCGCACACTTCCTCCTGTGCTTCTCCAGGCCTCGAGATACAAGGGGCTGGATTTCTGACCCCAAGAACATTCTTTCTGTTTACTATGATCACCACGTGACAGCATCCACTACGCCACCTGCCCCCGCAGTAACCTTGGGGCGCCTCTTAGGCAAAAGTGGAAAGCGCCTCTGTTTCCATCTGCTGCACTGGAGCCACGGAGCTCCTGCCTCTTTGGCTTGCCAGGGAAGGCTGGAACTCTAATTTTGCTCCATTCAATCTGTGGTATATAATTTTTTTCTTCCTAGACGCTCTGTTTGGCACTGACAAAATTTAATAGACTATTTTAGTTCCTAGACTAACTTCTCCTTTTCCCTCAGATACATAAAAGCTGCCCTGTCCCCAACTATTGGCATTCCCAGACCCCAAGTCACTCATTGTAAGCCCTCCTCAGCTCACGCCTCCCCTGAGATGGCTGTACCCAGACCTTAATCTTTGTACTCACCCCCACGCATTGCCCTTAATCTCCCCCTCTCATACAGGCTACCAGTCCCAAGAGTCCCAGGAGTTTGGGGACAACACTTGGAAAGAGGGCAGGAAGCCCCAGCCTGAGAACACATGCACCACCCAGAAAAGCTGCATGAGGGGCACCTCCCTGCACCCGGAGCATGAGGTAGAAGCTTCCAAGATGGCAACTGGCTGTGCGGAGCCCCGGGGCAGCTCTGAAAACCACATCCTGGTGAGCTGCCTTCTGAGCCCTCCCAAAACTCCAGGGGGGACCTTATTTATATTGTAAACCATTCCCAGAGCGCAAGACCTCTCTGGAGCACACCATCTGGAGAAAGCACATAGGAACCAGCCCATGGGGAAAAATGGAATGTCAACCTCTCCCTAGCCAGAAGCCCAGAAAACAACCTACACTATTTTGGTCCTGGCAGCTCTGAGCATCGCTGCGGTCCTATGACATGACGAGGGCCCTGCGTAGGAACGCAGAACCACACACAAGTGACACAGGTATGGCCTCTCGGGACTGGCCACCTCTGGGCCTGGGCCTCCCTTCTCCAAGTAATTTTCCCCACGCACTGTGGTAGATCCCCACCCTGACCTGAGACATACGGACCATTCTACAGCAACACCGTCTAATACAATGTTTACAGTCATGGAAACGTGCTATCATCCTAGGCTGTCCGATACCCTAGCCAGCAGTCATGTGTGGCTCCTGAGCACTTGAAATGCTCTGAGTATCTCCGGGTCACCCACAACAGGGTGGCACAACCACCCAAGGCTGCCAGGAGTGGAAATCCCCATCTCTGGCTCGATGTTTTGAATCCAGAGTGCTGCCATGAAGGTAGGGCGGGCAGCATTGTGTCCCTGATGGCTTTTGTTAGCACGAAATCACCACCCAATGCAAAGAGATCAATTTTCAAATTAGAAGGCTGATTCAAAGCTCAGGCTCCTGGCTGCCAGCTGAAAGGATGCCACCATTTAAGTCTGCTCTGGCTGTGCCCGACTGGGCTATTTCCACCGATGCTCCCACCCCTGAACAAGGCCCCGAGCAGCTGTCTGGAAGATCAGGCCACACACCAATAGGTAGGTGCCCCCCAGCAGTGACCTAATCCCCAGACATAAGAAAATGCCTCCCACCTGTCAAATGGCCCAGCTCCCCTGAAGACAGCCTCTGCACCCTCCTCCTGCACCCAGGTGCTGCTGCTGGGGACCAGGAGGAAGGCAGGACCCCGGCACAGTGTGGCCAGCCTCGTGTCATTCCACTCTGCAAGGGTCCAAGTGAGGAGTCCAAGTTAGGAGTCAGTGGCATGTGCTTCCT